CTTGTTGATTCCACCACCCTGTCCTCCCTGCGAACCAAGCTTTCCCTTTTATTTCCAGGCCGTGTCTGGAATTTTCACCTAATTCTATTTATAGCACCACTATTCGATGACTTTGCAGCCTTCACTTTATATCATAATACAGATCCACTGCCAAATCCCACCGATTCTACCTTGAAAAGATTTCAATCCATAGTCCATTCCTTTCCCTCTCCGTTATAAGTATCCTTGTCGTTGTCTCGGAGTCTTCTAGAGCCTCTTAGGGTTTCTGAGCTGTCCTCTGGTCCTCATCCTGGCCATCCTCCCCGAGAAGCCAGAGCCATCCTTATAACACATAAGCCAGGTCCCGGCATTACCACTCCAGTCGGTAGGTCCGCATTGCACTTTGATGAATCTCCTGGCCCTAACCCAGCCTCAGACCTTGAGTACTCCTCCCCGTCACCACCCTAGGCCTTGCTAACCGACTGCACTCTCACGCCTGTCTTCCTCCCGTTTCTGCCATTCACAGCCTTTGGACCGACTTCTCCTCTGAGGCAGACCTCTTCCCCACACTCTGCCTGGCCGATGCCGCATCATTTTCCAGGCTTCTTCTCAAACGCCTCCTCACAGAGGGCTCTCTTGACCAAACCCTCTCAATCTAAACAAGGTCCTGCTCTTGTAGTCTCACAGTCTTCATGACAGATTCCTAGTGATTAGCTGGCTCAGATTCCTGTGATTCCTGGGTAATATCTTTTGCCCTCTCTCAGAGTTCCAGGGAGATGGGCTCTTGTCTGTTTTGCTGAGCACTTTACTCCTAAGGACCCCAGCACAGCGCAGGCACACAGAAGCAAAGGAATGCTTTGAAAGAGTATGCATTTTTCGATGTCCTTATATAACCTTCACAATTAGAATCCAATACCTGCATTTATCTATTTAATTAGTAACTTTAATAAGACTTTTTTTTTTCATATGCAGTTGGGAGAACTGACCTTTAGTGGTTAGAAGGAAAAGTGTTTGAAGTCCCTGGATTAGCAATAGCAAAAATCTTAGCCCACACATACTAATATTATATATGGACATGGACATGGTGAGCCTAATGGTTCTTTTGAAAGGGAAAAATACACAGCTTACAGTTTTCCAATTCAATTTAGTGGTTGTGGGCAGCATGGCTTCTAAAAATGGAACAAATGGAAAATGTCTGAATGCATTGCTGGTGGGAGGATAGGAAGTGTTTTGTGTAACTTTTGTTTCCGTTTTATGTAGGTATAGCTATAGATAGATGAACTATGTACTGGGTTGCAATGTAAAATATATTTCTTTTGAAGGTTTAAAGAGAGACCCTGGCTCTAATGACTTACTTCTTTTTGGGGTTGTGTAAACATTTTCAAGTCCCCAGATACCCTGCCCCGCTGACAAAATGACCTGCTCAGAGTCCCACAAGAGGACAGGCAATAGCACTGCCATGTCCCTGAATTTGTGCCGGTCAAAGTCTGACCTCCAGGCTTGTGGGGGCATCTTTTCCCTGCTCATTCTCAGCTCTGAATCTACTCCAGTTCCTCTCATACATACTCAGAGGGTGTCTTTTTAAAAAGGTGGCCCACCAGGCAAGAGCTCCCCCAACCTCTCTTTTCTTTCTCCTGGAGACCCACCTAGGAGAGGCAAGCTCCTCTGCCTGACCTGGTTCCCGCCACCTCCTGCTTTCTAACTTCACGTGGGTTCCATCTATCTCATTGAGAAACCTGGCTCAGCCTTTAAACAGATACTTCAGGCTCTGGACCTAGACAGCCTATGACCTTGGCTCAGCCTTAATCCAGCGGGGGCGGAGTCTCCCTTTCACTCCTGGCTTCCCAAAGAATAGGCTTCCCCCATCAACTCCCTTCACAGAGTCCTGAACATGGGAGATTTCCCACAGAAAATGGGTGACTATCCTGGCTTCAGATGGGGACTCTGAGAAGGAAATGAGCGGTCACTCTCTGGGGGAGCGTTCTAGGAGGAGGAGGAACTACTTACTGCCAGCCAGGATGACCACAGACCCTTAGACAAGGACTTGGGTGACAAACCCGTCTGAAAGCCCCCAAGAGGCAGTGTCTGGCCTGGGCCTGGCGTTAGGGTCAAAGGAGAGGAGCAGCAGCCACCTCTCTTCCACAGGGCGGCAGTCCGAATTTGGGGCAAAGGAGGGGCATCTAGTTTCAGATCTTGTGACCCACCTTTCCCTCTCTTCACCCCAGGTGACAGCCTGTGTCCCGGAGTGAAGCCTCCTTAAACATGGAACGGTTAACATCTCAACAGCTCATGCCCACAGCATCACCAGCGTCCCGCTGACTCTGTAAAAGAGCCAGAGTGATTCACCAGCCTCACCTGTCTGGCCTGGATGCATTTTCCCAAGGTAACTCGGGTGTGTCTGTCATTTCCTTTCACGGAACAACTCCTGTCCAGGGCATGGGGTACCACTTGCTTGGAATATCACTGCATCAGGGCTATCTTCTGTGACCCCCTACTCCAGCGGAGCTGGCTCCTGGCATGCATTCCCCTTTGGCTGCCTTCTGCCCTGAGCCCCTGTCAGGAACACCTCCCCCCAGCCCTGGGCTCAGTATTGGTCTTTGGAACTCAGCTCATGATGGGTAAGTTTCCTTCAGGACCAGGTGTTCCTCTAGCCCTAACTGTAAACAGACGCACGTGTGCTGACAGAACCTGGTCAATGTTGTGTGCCAATGGCTTGGCCTATTCATTTAGGACAGTCAGGCACAGTTCTGGACACTGGGGACACAATGATGAACAAAATGACATGGTCTCATGGAGTCTGCAGATGTGGCCAAGAGACAGATACTAAACCAATAATTTCACAAATAAGATACGGCAAACGTTAAATGAGATGAAGAAAAAGAACTTGAGCGAGTCCTGAGCATTGAGCAAAGCTTCCACAGGGAAGTGGCAGTTAACGGAAATCTGAAGAATGAGTAGGGATTGATTATACAAGGGGCTTAGTTGGGGTGGAGAGGAGAGGAGGGTTCACCATCTTCTCATGCTGGGAACAGCATGTGCAAAGGTCCTGAGGCCGACAGGAAGGCAGCTAGGTGGAGGGGGCGGTGCAGAAGGCAAGATGGGGGAGGGGGAGGAGCCCAGGCTAGAGAGGGCAGTGGAGTCCAAATGGGATAGTCCTTTGTAGGCATGTTCAGGGTCTTGGTCTTCATCCCAAGGACCCCGTTGGAGTCCACGGGCTGCCATACAGTTTGAATCTCACTCACAGTAACCCTAGAGGAAACAATGGAACTGCTTCCCACCGGTTTCTGGGGCTGTAAATCTTTAAATCTTTATGGAGGAAAACAGCCTGTCTCATGATTCTCCCGAGGAGAAGCTGATGGGTTCAAACCACCCACCTTGCAGTAAGCAGGCCACTGTCTAACCCACTGCACTGTCATGGAGTTGGATTCTACACACAGTGAGGCTGCAAATCTTTAAGGAACAGACAGCCTCATCTGTGGTGGATTTGAACCTAGAAATTAGCCGTGTGACGCTTACCTGACAGAGTCACCAAGGCTTCTTTATCTCAAGGGTTCCCGGGGAAGAATGTCACTGGAGGATTTTAATCAGAAGGGAGACACTATCAGATTTGCATTTGAGGAAATCATTGAAGCTCAGATTAGAAGGGAGTGGATGAGTGGCCCTGTGGGGGGGAGAGTAGGGGGTTATCAGGTGACAGTCATGGTCCCAGGAGTGGTGGTGGCCCTGCCCCATCTGCCTGCCCGTTGGCTTTTTGACCACATGTCCTGAGATGCCAGGCTCAGGAGGGCACTGTGTTCTCAGCAGAAGACGATCCCCTGGAAGACCCAGAGGGGGGTGGGGTGGGGAGGGAGATTAGGGGCAAGGCTAGCCAGGGTGCACTGTCAGCCCCAGAGCCTGCTTTCGGTGGTGGTGGTGGGGGGGAATTGGGACCCCATAGATGGGAAGTGAATGAAGACATCCTTTAAATTCCACCTTTGCCATCCCAATTTCTCATGTTCTAAGAATGAAACCCAAACTTCAGGAAGACTCCTTAAATGCCCGAGCATTTGCTGAGGAGTGCTGGGCACATTGAAGTCCCACATTCCATGGGGGTGGTGACCGTGAGGTCCCCCAGCCTGACACCAGGGGGAAGGTGGTCTTCAGGGAGGGACTTGGCCTGGTCTATTTCCTATTCCAGAGATCTGAGCTGCAGTCTGAGGGTATGGCCTTAGGCAAAGCCCTCCACTCACACCCCCTCGCCCGGTTTCCTCGGTGCCACCTGAGGGTAGCCCCAAAGTCCTCTCCAGCTGCGAGTGGGACTTTCGGTGCAGCGGACGGGCGGGGCGCTCGCGGGGCTGCGGGGAGGGGCTCCC